CCCCAAAACCCCAAAACCCCAAAACCCCAAAACCCCTTTGATGAAATATATGGAAAAGAATTTAATAGATGAATGATATTAATTAAGCATAATTTAGTATCTAACTTTAACACTCAAACTCTTCTTGGTGCCTCCTCTTCCTTGGGTGCTAGTCTGATCATATCATCTATTCTTAGAATTGTAATAGCAGCCTCAGTGGCGAACTTCAAACTCTTGATCTTTGACATTGCTGGTTCGAGGACTCCGGCCTTTAGGTTGTTTCTGATCTTTCCATTGATGAGATCTAATCCAGAGTGCTTAAGCTCCTTCTTTTATTCGTCATCAGCTTTTTGAGCAGCATTGTGGAACACTCTCATTTTAGCGATCAAATCAGTGGCGTCCTTAGCAGCGTTCAAGGCGAGGGTCTTTGGAATAACCAAGAGGGCCTCTGAAAATTCAGCAATAGCCAATTGCTCTCTTGATCCAAGAGTTCTGGCGAAGTCGTCCAAGTAGATTGAAAGTGCAACTTCAACTGCACCACCACCAGCTACAAGCAAGTTTGATTCAAGAACTCTCTTGATAACACAGAGTGAATCGTGAATAGATCTCTCGATTTCATCTAAGAAATAGTCGTTGGCTCCTCTCAAGATGATGGTTTGAGCTCTGGTCTCTTTCATACCCTCAATGAAGGTGTAGTCCCAGTCACCAACTCTCTTTTCGTAGACCTTAGTTGCAAGACCAAGGAATGATGGTTCGAATTTTTCATCACCCTCGAAATCAGCGAGTGAAACAACAATTTTAGCACCAGTGCAGTTAGCGATTCTTCTTAAATCAGCTTTCTTAACTCTTCTGATGGCGATGCAGCTGCGCTCAACGAAGTATTTAAGAGCGAAATCATCAATACCCTTGGAGCAGAGGATGACGTTGGCACCAGCGTCAATAATTTTGTTGACTCTTTCTCTGGTAACATCCATTTCTCTTTGTCTGATTTTCTCAAGGTTTTCTGGGTCTTGGACGAGAACTTGAACTCCCATTTGGAGTCTGAATTTATTTAAATTGAAGTCAATGCAAGCAATTTTAGCGTCTTCAACAACGGTTGGCATGCCTTGAGCTGATCTTCCAGCCTCAATAGCATAACCATCGACAAGAGTAGACTCTTTTGATGATTTACCGTGGGTCTTGAGGATGTGGACTGCCTTGATTGGGCATTTGACCTCTCCTAGAGAGTTGACTTGCTTGACTCTTTGCATAGCATTAACAACAATATCTGCATAGAAATCGCTTTCAGCTCCTAATAATTTTGATGACATAGATGTCTTGGCGGCATTAATCAAAGCCTCTGTGCCGATTTGCTCAGTTGACAAGCTCAATTGCTATTAGATGAATTTAACTGATTCTCTAAGGGCGAGTCTGTAACCTGACATGATAGAAGTTGGATGAATCTTGTTCTTAACAAGTTCGTTGGCTCTCTTCAAAAGCTCTGCAGCCAAAATAACGACTGAAGTGGTACCATCACCAACTTCTCTGTCTTGAATTTGAGATAATTCGACCAATACCTTAGCAGCTGGGTGTTGGACTTCGAGTTGCTTGAGGATTGTAGCACCATCGTTTGTAATTGTGACATCTCCGATATCATCGACGAGCATTTTATCGAGACCTTGTGGACCAAGAGAACTCTTAACAATGTTGGAAAGAGATTGAACAGCCATGACTAAATACAATGATGATATTAATTGGAGATAAGAACTTACTGTTTGCACTTCTGACATCTTAACCTTGCTCGCGGTTTCCGAGGATACTAACCTAAGACATATTACCTATTGTATTTTTATTATTTAAATTTCAATATTTTGATTAGAGCGCTTTTTCATATCGAGAGGGGTTTTGGGGTTTTGGGGTTTTGGGGTTTTGGGGTTTTGGGG